AGGCCACTCCCTTCGCCGCGCGCTAGGCGAAAACCCTACCACTTACCCAGCAATCAATGTGTTAACATGTGCTTGGGCTCCAGGAATTGGGACCTGGCGGCTCTGCTCCGGTGCATGAGGGCTTACGCTACCACCTACACAGGAGCTGCTTGAGCCGTAGTGGTTAATCAAATGGAAAAGAAAATGGAACATGAAATGGAAACTGGGATTATATAGTAGGTTCGGGGTTTGGAGGTTTGGAGCCGTTTCGGGGGGTCCAGAGTAGCTCCAAAGAAGCTCTTCGACAAAGTGTCGGGATTTGAAAAGAGTGCAGCTGGGTCAAACAGAACGCGCCAATGAACGTTGGCTTTACACACCATGCTTGGATTTTGGAGGCTTTGGGCTTGAAGAGCTTCCTTCATTATCATGGTGATTTTTGTGCTTGTGTTCCGAAGTGGGACTGTTACAACACGGCTCTCCTGGCCTCTGCAGACCATGAGGAGCAATCTGCCTCGTGTGATTTTCCGGAAAGAAGGCCCGGCAGTGCATAAAGCTGGAGTCCACTGATAATATTAGGGCTATCTTGGGGTTATATAGGGATAATGGAAAAGAAGATGGAAACTACTATAATAGAATAGGGTATATATTGGGGTTATATGGGGATAATGGAAAAGAAAATGGACACTACTATAATAGAATAGGGTATATATTGGGGTTATATGGGGATAATGGAAAAGAAAATGGAAACTACTATAGTATAATAGGGTATATATTGGGACTATGAGTTTGGCGACTCTGTATCTGAGGACGATATTCGAGCATCGTTCCGGTGGCCCTTCTGGTCCATGTCACTGACTTACACATGGCAAGTGGAATTTGCATTCACGTCTGGAGAAGCAGAAAAAGGGTGGATCTCAGGCAATCCGAAGCAGCAGGCGGAAACCAAGAGCCATTGCACTGGCGCATCCCGGCTTCACCAGGTTTTTATTGTGGGCATGGTTTGGCAGGGAGGTTTCCTTAAGAATGGGGACTCCACAAAAGGGGCTAGGGTTTGGGAACCCCTAGATCCCAATAAGCCACTGCATGATCCCAGTTCTCCTCCATTTGATGACCATATATACCCTATTATGCTATAGTAGTTTCCATTTTCTTTTCCATTATCCCCATATAACCCCAATATATACCCCATTCTATTATAGTAGTTCCCAACCGAGGCTGGCATCTGACGTGCCTTCTGTGGATTTGGGCGGTCTTAGCTGGCTGAATGCAGGACGGCACTGGAGCATGGAAGCAGTTCTCTGATTAGGCTGTGTTGTGTGGGGCCATGTACACGAAGGCCATTGAAGGTTGGCTTGGTTGTATGATTTTTTGCCAGTCCCGGCCAAGAAGACGCTGCTACCGTTTGCTGCTTTTTTAGAGAGGCCGACCAGCATGCTGTACATCTTCCGTCCTTACAAGCTGCCTAGTCTACTAGAGTCATTGAAAGAGCAGTCCGACACATGGGTAAGCAGTTCCAAGTTGACAAGAAACGGAGCTTCTGGAGCCCAGTTTCCATTTAATTTTCCTTTTCTTTTCCATTTGATTCTCCTTTGTTGTGGTAATGTATCCCTATATCATCCCCTTACATATCATATTGACCTCAGCCTAGAGGCGCTGACTCGCATCCACCTGCGGAGATTGTGGAAGCTGTGGGGCAAGCCTTGAAGTCACATGGCATGTTCTCCGCGCAAGGCCGGGGTGTCAGATGTTTTTCATTGAACGTTGGCTGTTCGATTTTTGCATGTCGAGGCCACGGGGTGCCCCCAGATGTTGTGAGCAGAGTGCGCACCGAGTCCATGAACTTCTTTGATCAACCCTTGGAAGTCAAACAAAGCTGTGCCGTCATCAACTCAGCTCAAGTGCGGTCACAATTACAGCTTGTCGCAAAGAAGAGCTTGTCTGGTTCACGGGTGAGGTGCACAACATGGAAAGGAATCGCCTCTTGCCTTGTTTGTACGTGCTTGTTATTGAATGTTATTTACGCTTAACGCAGCTTTCACAAGGACAGCTTTCAAGTTCAGGTGGCTACGAGATATACCCTCATCACCAGAGGTTTCTGGAGCAGTGGCAGTCCGCGAAAGTGCCGCCAAATGCTCATGTGGAACCATCTGCTGTGCAAGGCCTGCGATTTGCACCAGTGTCCCAACCCCTCTTTTGGTCCAAAGTGCTCCAAGATGGTGACAGATTTGGGAGGCATCGTTTGCGAGCGCTATTGCTGCGGGCCGCCAGCCATCTGCGAGAAGGCCCAGGGTGTATTTCTTGGTGGGTCCATCCAGTAATCAACGATTGTCCAGTGGTCGAAGTGATCGTTTTTGATTTGGAGGGCTGTCAAAATCATGGTTCCCCTTTTCGGCACCCTGGAATGGTAGGGGCCATGTTACAGTGAGAACCCACAAGGGCAACCAGAATCTTGACAACTCCCCATTTCCCATCTTGACCTAGAAGGCTCTTCCCAAGCCCGAGCTGGAGGCCGAAGATGAGGCATGGAAATCGGATGACTTCTACTCTTCTTCGTATGGTGGCTGGGCACAAAGGTTTGGTATGGACCAGGGGTGAAGATTTTGTGGTCGTTCTGTTGCTTCAGCCATGGGTAATTAGTGTGTTTGTTAGACTCTGGGATCGGTTTTTGACCTCTACGTCGCCCGCAGGACAGGTGTCGAAAGTGTGCGCGAGATTTGAGTGTCCATCCTTGTGACAATGGTCATATTCTTGGACTGTCTTCACCCCAAAGGCTGAAAATGCATGGTGGCCATAGGGCAAATCAGCCATTATACAACAACAATCGGGAGAGGAATAAAGGTACATAGTAAGAGTCAGTAGGCAGTCTTCACCCTGGGCGCAGTCAGCGCCCTCCTTGCTCCTTTCCCAGATAGTCTGAGTCTCTTGCAATTGGCCGCTTTCCCCTGAACGTCGCTGGTCTCAGAGCATGGGGCCTAAGAAAGTTTTCGCCCAGGCTCTTTAGTCAAAGCAGATTTGGAAAAACACCAGGATCATTAAATGGCTCCAACTTGCATTCGCCTGTGCCATTTGCAATTTTTTCATCAAAATGAGAGCTAGGTTAGGAATCAGAGCATTCGTGGCAACAAAGAATAACTTTGCTGAAGCCAAGAAGCCGAGGAGTCAGGGAGCTAGGATGCCAAGAAGTGGAATGCATGATGTGCAGGCACCCTCCCCAGAAATGAAACCATCTTGTATCTGCAGAGCCAGACAAACGACACCAAAAAAAAGATTCCCTTCCCAGTGGCATTCGATTGGGGACATATAATGGAACTTGTGGCTGCCGATGCTTCGTTCTTAGGCGAAGTATTCTTCCCTTCCAATGTTTGGCCGGTCAATTCCGAGACATCGCTGAAACCGGCTTTGTTGGAAGCCTACGTCGAATTTGAACGCTTCTCCGAAGCTGTCCTCCTGCCCCTCAACTGCAGACCGCTTGTCCGCACTTTCCAGGATGGGCCTTGATACGTGGAAAAGCCCTTTTAGGGTCCGAGTATGGGTAGATTGTGGGTGCTTATGGGTCCTGGTTGCCTATCCTGGTTCAGATTCCGTTTTCCTTTCTTATGCTGTGAATGAAGTAAATTAAGAGAGGGAAACGACCACGACACATCCGTAATAGAAATGGCTTAAGCTCTTAACATTCCCTGGCTTTACCTGGCTTTGGGCTAATAGAAATGACCGTAGGCTAATGGTTCCGCCCCTGTAATGCTAATTGTAAGTGTAATACATTTCTATTGGGTTTCTTAGGCGAGTAACCGATTTTATTGCAGCCCTAATTGAAAATGTATTACAGCCTATTAAATGACCTTGGGGTAGGATTTGCCATTACGAGGATTCTTACGCCTGATGATTAGGACTGATGGTAAAATTAATAGCGGTTACCAAAATATATTCT